AAACAGTGGTTCAGCATACACCTCAACTCCTGATGCACGGTGAGACCTCAACGCTACCGCGGACTCCATGCATGCGAGGTTAGCACCATTGATGATGCTATGGGTGGGGTCCGACTAATATTGTAATCTAAACACTCCCTGAATACAGCGAACAAGTACCGGCGAGTGGTATGGCAGGATAGGCGAAGCAAAGCTTGAAGAGGAGACTATGGACTTGTGGACCCTTGTCAACTTCTTTCTCTCCACACTGTCGATATCCTCATGATCAGCCGACGTGTCGTTTCAATCGCAATTGCAATAATTGACGTAGGACAACCTCGAAACCTCTGCCAGGCACAATATCAGATCGTTCAGTTCGCTTAGCCGTATAATTCGTGGTCGCTCCAGAGCAGCCCAGATGGGAATTTGGTTGATAATTTCAGAAGGAGGCACCAGTAAGGCCCTATGTTTGACCATTTGTACCATACAAAGGAGACCCATGAGATGCGGAACCCATCAAAGTGAGTTCTCAAACAGAAGGATATCCTGGGCTGCATTATGGGATGATGAGACAAGGCTCCTGAAGTGAGGCTGCATCACGGCTTTCCAGATAGCTTTTATCGCACCCATGTTTTAACACCTCTGTCTGGGCGACAGCGCTAACATCGTCGGGTGTCGTGCAAGGTGTACACACGTCCGATATCTCTGCGTGCAGCGCGCACGTGGAAACAGCAGACTGCGTGAATATTTAGGGCCAAACTGGGGCTAGATGCCAGTGAAGGGAATGCATAGAACGAGGAACAGGCCGCTGGTCTCTGGTCACCGTCCTACGTCGATCAACCAATGGCCCGGTGAGAGGACTGTCAGCCCATAGTCTCGTGAATTCTTTCCGACGACCGCACCTCACGATGCAGAACTTCAATCGTGTTCATCTGCATATGATTGACTGACCAGAATTTACACCTAGTACGTGATAAGAACTACCCGGTCCAGCCTCTCCGTTCAGCCTTGATGAGTTGTGTGCGCCGCAACGGGTCATCAGCCTTGTCGGCGTCTTAAAAAGTGGCCTCTCGGGCGATCCTCTGCGAAGTCTAACCTGATGCGGGTCGAAAAGCGTACGCTTCATACGGATTCTCCTTGCCTGCCTCACGCCCGGATGGGTAGAAGGGCAATGTGGTAGCTGGACGGCGTGAACAGCGCGGTACGTCTTAGGCGACGTATTGACCAGACGAATCGAACTGTGGTTTTTACATGCATCTCTATTGCTTACAATGAAATGCAACTCAGGCCGACGAGGTGATATGCTGCGTAGTGATTCGTTAAATCGGTCTATCGTCTACTCCCCTCGATTCGGGCATCGTTGCAGTACAGGCAGATAGAGCGGCGGCACATAGAACTGCGAAGCGAGAAATTCAGTAGATCATACAGTAGAATTAAACACAGTCGATGGGCATTTCGTAAATATGCAGTATGGGGCACACACAGACCTCAGTCGTACAACAGAAAGATAACGTGACTGTCTATAGTGGTAAGCCATTGACGAAGCAGAAGCATTTTAGGAATGAGATACAAAATCATACACATTAATATAGGCCTGACGGGACGACCATCTGGAATGAACTATGTCTTGTCTCCGTATCAGGAGACTCCTTTGGATAAGCAACGCCTGCTAGCTGCTCGATGAAATCAACAACTCATCTACGCTGTGGAAATAATCGCCTCAGGAGCCTCCGACTGTCTTTAGAGGATCGACAAGGAATATCTGACATTCGCCGAATATGCGTGCTTGTGAGGATGGTCGTCGGGAATGAGCCTTTCCGCAGCTTTATATACCGAAATCGACCTGTGAATGTTTTCGATGTCACCGAGCCGCCAGAAGCGCATATGCAGCGAGTATCCAAGGCCGCTCAAACAAAGAGGCATTTCGGGATCGCCGTCAGGAGCCAGTGGCACAGCATCTTCTAGCATTTAAATCGACATGTGAATGTCCTCGACTTGGCCCAATCACTCAAAGCGGGTACACAGCGAGTGTCCAAGGGGATTCAAACGAGGAGGCTTGTCAGAATCGTCGTCGGTAGACAGGCGCACGGCATTTTCGAGCATTGAAATCGACCTATGCATGTACTCGACGTCTCCCAACCACTGTAAGCAGGTGCACAGCGAGTTTCGAGGTTGTTCAAATACGTAAGTTTGTTGGGGTCTCCGTCAGAAGACAGCTGCACAGCATGTTCGAGTATTGAAATAGACCTGTGAATATCCTCGACGTCGCCCAGCCGCTTGAAGCGAGTACGAAGCAAGTTTGCGAGGCTGTCCAGCCGAGAAAGCTTATCGGAATCGCCGTCAGGAGACAGCCGCACAGCATCTTCGAGCATTAAAATGGACCTGTGAATGTCCTCGACGTCGCTCGTCTGCTCGAAGCGGGTGCACAGCGAGTATCCGAGATTGTTTAAATGCACAGGCTTGTTGGGATCATCGTCAGCACAGCCGCACAGCATCTTCGAGCATTGAAATTGACCTGTGAAGGTCCTCGACGTCGCCCATCCGACGGAAGCAGGCACACAGAGAGTTTCTGAGGTTGTTCAAATATGTGGATTTGTTGGGGTCTCCATCGGGAGACAGTCGCACAGCATCTTGGAGTATTGAAATCGACCTGTGAATGTCCTCGACGTCGCCCAGCCGACGGAAGCAGGCGCGCAGAGAGTTTCCGAGGTTGTTCAAATATGTAGGCTTGTTGGGGTCTCCTTCAAGACACAGTCGCGCAGCATCGTCATGCATTGAAATCGACCTGTGAGTGTCCTCGGCGTTGCCGAGCTGGTCGAAGTGGGTCAACAGCGAGCGTCCAAGAGCGTCCAAACGAGAAAGCTGGTTGGGGTCATCATCGGCAGCGGACTGGACCGCATCTTCCAGTATCAAAATCGATCTGTCCGTGTCTGGAACGTCTGTAGATTGGTCAAGCCCCGGAGTGTGTATCTCCTGCACCTCTCCTCTCTGCTTCTTCCTCTCTCTCTCGCCATGCGCCACATCGTTTCTTCCCGCCTCATCGGTTTCTGACTCAGTACTGCATGTACTCGTCTGCTCGTTGACTGAGAGCTCGCAGATTCTTTGCGTCATAACACGCTCTTCCGTGCCACCTGCGACGAGAAGTACATGGCATCGGACGCCACCGTGACGAAAATAAGTAGCGAGTGCGGCTGTACTCTCTTCTGGTTGAAGACTGCCCCATAGATCCAAATCGAGTTCAGATGGGATTGCTTCAACTTCAATGCATTCATCCAGGTGCGTAGGCTGGCCATCGTCGGCGCGCGCGCTAGAATCGGAGTGGCAGTAATCTACAATGACGCACTAATGTAAAATCAGCACAACGACTACAGCGAAGTGAGAGATGGACGAACAATGTTATTTCCCTTCTCTGCTGCAAGTTGTGCGATCAGAGCGCCCAACGAACGATGTGGGATTCCGTGGACTAAACGACATTTTGGATCAACGCTAGACCAATTCTGCTTTGGAAACTTCAGGTGGCGGGGTGATACAGAACAACGGTTCTGCATCATTATCGTTCATCATCGCCACTCTATTGGAATGGAAAGTATTCGTGATTGTGAACACGCCGGATAACTTGGTTGCCATCGTGCATTGAGTACACCGGAAACCTAAGCGAGTCGACGTCGCACAGTCACAACCTGGTGGTTTCAACACATATCCTAGCACAGGAGCTTATAAACCGACTCACATCAATTCCGACGGGGGCACAATGGCAATGGGGAAGAACAGAGAGAGAGGAAAACTGTCAAAACGGACGCCCTGACATGGGGACATAGACGGATCAATTGTGGTCACGACATATCAGGATGAGCCTACGACAGGAAAGTGCTGCCGGTCAAGAGGCCATGTCATACGGCAGCCAGAAGGGGAACACCAAAATCACGACACACATCAATTATCATGGCCAGGTACCCAAATTCGGCTGCTTCAGCAATGCCGCGAAGCTAGCACAAACGAGTTCTGTAAAGCAAGCAAGCCCATCGGTGGTCTATCTTGGCTAATCCGGAATAGGATGGGCGTACTCACGATCAACAGAGCAAGCTTAGCAGCAACATCACAGCCCTTGGGCCATCATATCGACCCTCTCCACCGCGAGCTCTCTTGCGACGTAAAAACCGACCACAGTCAACCTGCAAGTTCTATGCTACTCCTTCCGGACCTTCATGCGTACCCCTGACATGCTCATTCACTATTTCTGAGGATATCAACCTTGCACAGTTTCTCGTCGTGTCTCGATGTCACAAGCCAAAAGGTGCAGCCGCAACTACCACCTCATTGTCTTGACGCCGTCTGAGCCATGTCCTGTGAACCTGTTTTCATGTCGTCACCGCAAGAAGGCGAGACTCTCGCAACACTGAGGTCCATTTCTTCGCCCAACACAATGTTGAATGTGTGCTCCTGGGACATATCTCATGAACAGTTGGACACAAGCGGCTGCGGCGAGGACGACGGATCTTGATACCAGTGGCTTAGGCAGACCTTCGCGTTGATCATTGCGCATACACAAGTCCGTAGCCACGAGCTTCCTTTCACACACAACACTTCCTGGGCTCACTCTCTTCAAGCACCTCGCACGGCTGCAATAAATCTGCATCGGCCCATCTAAAATGGCTTTGATCGCGCTCACCGGTTTGTTAAACCGTCAGAAGTCCACGTCTCTTGCGATCTAACTCGTGTCCTTCGCCCTTTGTGCGCTCCAGTGCGGCCAGCCCAAGCGTAGCAGACGGCGGTCGAAGCAGAAGTTGCACACACAGGCGGGACATGAACCAGATCTTGATGACGCCGGCGGATCCCGAGCGGTCGCGTGCATGCCAGATGTTCGCGAATCCAAATTTGCCTGGCAAGTCCAATCCTCTTCGTCGTGCAACATTGAACACCCAAACGAGTTGCCCTAAAATCTCGCGGGTCAGGGACCGGAGGCTACAGAAAGAGCTCAAAGCGGTGAGGACACAGCGTCTGCTGTATCGTTCCTCGTTACTTCTGCGGGTTATGTTTCGCAGTATTAACGCCAAACCAGCGCGGATGGACACCTAGTTGAGAACTTTGGACGGAGGCGCGAGCAGGGCCATATGTTCGGTCGTTTGGGAGAATGATACGCGATCTTCTTCCAGACTACGCCGGTCATTCAAGGACACTTTGATTCCATGGATGTTCCCGGCTCACGTAGTCTTCCAGCGATTATCGCAGAGACTCTACATCTGGGAGGTTGGGAACCACAGCTGCCTCTGCAGCTAATCTCCCACTGAATCGGCTTCAGGAACAGCATATAGCAGGTTCTCAGTATGCGCGCGCGAATTCCTGTTCGTTCTAATTTTGAGCACGAAGAGGCGCGAATATGATCAAGACGGTAAGAACCTATCAAGTGGGATAAAGTAGAGCTCCCTGACTGGCAGAAACACCGAGTAAGCCAGTTTGTGTCCATATCAAGCGTTTGAAGAGGACGTGCTGTATTCATTTGGCTTGGAATGGTCAATATCGACTGGGCTGAGGGATCTGGTTCAATCTGCTCACACTATGACTGAGGCAAGTTAGACAAGGAGGCTATGAGCTGATCCTTAGTGTATGGTAATGCTATCAGTCACTACTGGATAAGTCATGGCCCAGTACATATATTACCATGCAATCGATAGACAACAAATTATGGACAATTTCGGAGAAGTTTTTGTGGCACATCCTGTTCGTGGGTAAGATGCTGGCAGTCAGATTTCCGCTATCTAGCCATACTGCGTGATGTAAAGGCAGTGTACCTCGTACTCCCGTAGATTTGGACAGTCGTCATATTTAACGGCGCATAGAACTGCAAAACAAGAATTCATTAGGATTACATACATATATACATCAACATGCGCGTATTTCGTAGAGATGCTGTATGAGGTGCACACAGACCCCGGTCATAGAATAGAATTTTTGAAGATTATCAACAAGAGTGGAGTCATTGAGGGCGGAAATGGCTCAACAAAGTAATGAGTATACAAACAACTAGACCTGGTAGGACGATCATCCGGAAGGAGTCATGCTATGTCTCCGCATCAAGGAACTCTTTCACATAAGCGAGGCCACCCAGTCGCTCAATGTAAATCAAGTTATCGATGGTGTCCAAACTATCGCTTCTGTCTACGTTTCTGATGGCCCTCGAGGATCGACAACGAGCGTTTGAAATTGTTCGAATAGATAAGCTTGTGAGGATCGTCGTCGGGAGTGAGTCTTTCCGCATGTTTGTGCATTGAGATTGACCTGTGAATGTCCTTGAGGTTGCCCAGCCGCTCAAAGCGGGCCAATAACGAACATCCAAGATGGTCTAAACGAGAAGGTTTGTCGGGATCTTCGTCAGAAGAAAGCTGTACAGCATCTTCGTGCATCGATATCGACTTGTGAATATCCTCGAGGCTGCCCAGCCGCGCGAAGCGGGCCAATAGTGAACACCCAAGATTGTCCAAACGAGAAGGCTTGTTGGGGTCACCATCAGGAGAAAGCTGAACAACATCTTCCAGCATCGATATCGACCTGTGAATGTCCTCGAGGCTGCCCAGCCGCATGAAGCGAGTCAACAACGAGCGTCCAAGATTGTTCAAACAAACAAGCTTGTTACGATCATTGTCGGAAGTCGACCGAACTACATGTTCTTGCATCATTATTGATCTGTTCATGTCAGCAAGGTCGATGCTCTGATCAAGCACGGGGGCGAGCGTCTCCTGTTCCTCTGCTCTCTGCTTCCCTCTCCCCGCCTTCTGCTGTCTCCTGCCCCGCGCCGTCTCTTCTATTTCCTTGACGCTGATATCTGATTCTCTACTTCTTTCCCTGTCGCTCTCTGATTCAGTATTTCCTCCCTCGTCGCTGTTCTCCGATTCAGTATTTCCTTCCTCGTCGCTGTTGTCTGATTCAGTACTCTTTCGCTCGTTGGTTGAGGGCTCATAGCCTGTTTCTAGATAAGATGATTGGACTTGCATCGAGCGATGAGGCTTGTCAGAACCACCGTCAGGAGACAGCCGTACAGCATATTTATGCCTTGATGTCGCCCTGTCAATGTCCTTGAAATTTCCCAGCTGCTTGAGGGCCGACTGCGAGCGTCCCAGGTTGTCTAAACGAGAAGGCTTGTTGGGATCTCCATCAAGGGAAAGCCGTATGGCATCTTCCAGCATCGATATTGACCTGTGAATGTCCTCGAGGCTGCCCAACCGCATGAAGCGAGTCAACAGCGAGCGCCCAAGATTGTTCAAGTGAAAAGGCTTGCTGGGGTCACCGTCTACAATGGACCGGACTGCATGCTCTTGCATCATGATTGATCTGTTCATGTCAGCGAGGTCAATGCCCCGGTCGAGGACAGGAGCGAGTACATCCTGTTCCTTCACTCTCTGCTTCCCTCTCCTCGCCTTCCGCTGTCTCTTATCATGCGCCATGTCATTTCCTTCCTCAACGCTAAGCTCTGGTTTGGTACTTCTGTGCTCGTTATTTGAGAGATCACGGACTATTTCTGGGCGAGATGACTGGGTTTCCATCAAGCGATGAGGCTTAGCAGGGCCATCGCCCAGAGACAGCCGTACAGCACCTTTGCGCCTCGATATTGGTCTGTCAATATTTTCCAACCGTTCGAGGGCCGACTGCGAGCTTTTAAGATTGCTCAAACGAGAGGGCTTTTCAGGATCTCCATCAGGAGAAAGCCGTACGGCATCTTCCAGCATCGATATCGACCTTCGAATGTCTTCGAGACTGCCCAGTCGCATGAAGCGAGTTAACAATGAGCATCCGAGATTATTCAAACGAAAAGGCTTGTTGGGGTCACCGTCTGGAGTGGTTCGGACCGCATGCTCATGCATCAGTATTAATCTGTTCATGTCAGCGAGGTCGATACCCTGGTCGAGTACGGGGGCAAGTATCTCCTGTTCTCCTTCCCTTCGCCTCCCTCTATCGACCTCCTGCTGTCTCTTATCATGCGCCGCCTCGTCTATTTTCGCGTTGCCGGTCTTTGACTTCGTACCGCGTGTACTCCTTTGCTCCTTGATTAGGAGGCCGCGGACTGTTTCTCGATGAGATGGCTGGACTCCTGCATGTAGGCTGGGCATCCGCTGGACGGCGTCTGGAAATTTGGGCATTTCATCTTCCACAGCGGCATCGATCGGTGTCTTCGCGAAGCGCTCTCTTTTGCCCGTCTCCATAGCATGCCGTTGCGCACCATCTGTGACAAGGAGTACTTGACATCGAAGGCCACTGCAGGAAAGAGTTGTGACGGTTGCCGTTGCGACCTCTTCGGGTTGGAATCTACTGAGTATATCTTCATCTAGGTCAGAGGGGATCGCCTCGACCTCAATGCGTCCATCCAGGTGAGTAGGCTCGCCATTACCAGCAAACGTGCTAGAGCCGGAATGGCAGGAATCTGAGATGACGCACTAATACAGAATCAGCCCACAGCCTCCAAAGGGATGAGAGATGAACGAACAATGTTGTCACCCTTTTCTGCTGCGAGTTGTATGAGCAGAGCGTCCAACGTGCGATGTGGGATTCCATGGACTTTGCGACTTTTGGGGCCAAGGCTAGACAGATCGTACGGGACCAAGGATTGGATCTTGGTTTCTGCAGCTCCCCCGTCCGCTGGTCCGGTAGACGTCGCATAATGTCCAGCATAGTATATCAGGATGGGATCTCCTTTCTGGATGCGCTCGTCATCCAAGAATATATGAAATCCGCGGAGGATCGCAGACCGCGTAGCCCGACTATCGCGGAGGTTCCGGATCTGCGATTCTGGAACCCCAAGCTGCTCTTGGAGGTAATCTCGAACTGCATCGGCATCACGGACCGCGCCCGATAGGTCCGCGATAGATGTCGATTTATACTTGTCAATTCCAATAATGAGCGCGAAGAGGCGCGGATGTGGTCTATCGCAGTGAGGATTCGTGAGGTAGAGTAGGGCTTCCTCACAATGAGTAATACTCGCCTTGGCGACGGAATATTCCCCGCTACATGTGCGAACTGGTCCAAAAGTTGAAGATGATGAGAGAGATGAACATGAGTCATCTGTCCAGTGGCCATGAGTCTCAAGTCCACGGTAGATAATAGATTGATGGCCAACCTCAGATAAATGCTTTAGGATGTATAATGCTAATAAGATGGACGCATTGATCTTGACAAAGATCAGATTGTATAACAGATACTCATAAAAGTGGGTAATCTTACGTCTCTATTTGCGTCAATGGCGGGTTTGACATTCGCCAATGAGTCAGATAATGACTTAGACAAGGCTGTTGATGAAGGAGGAATTGATTCATCGCAGATAAGCTGTTCGCTATTTGTGCGAGCATCCGTTTCGAGATCGGCATGCGGCAAGATCTGTCAAATAATGTGAGCCTCACGAGCGCAGAGAACACATGGCAACATACCTCCCAAATGTTTCGACGATCCCCGGAGTCGGATAAAAGGTCTATCTGGTTCCGAGGATATCAGTTACGCTGGTCGGAAGATACAGCGAATACACACATCTCACCGGAGTCTCATGTCTCTCGTCACTAAGATGCCAACACAAGTCTCTTTTATCATATTGCCGGATACTGTCCAATACACCTCGACATCAATGATCCATGACAAGACTGAAAATATTAAACATACATATAGGTATCGGGTTTGGATCCCCTTCCTTCCGCTCTCTCAATAAACCACCACCACTTGATGGTCGACGCAACCACTACTTGGGGATCTACACCGTGCGAGGGACGCGCGAACTGTGGATCTTTAAACCCCATGTTTTGAAGTTGATGTCGACCGGCAGTACCAGGTATCAATCTCCACTACATGACCGTATGAATGTTAATATCATGATGCCTTATGGACCGCTTGAGAGAAAGTGTCGCACCAGTTCCGCTTTAGGCACCTGATCCAGTAGCGGAACAATGCAGAACAAAGGTTCTGCATCATTATCGTTCACCATCGCCACTCTATTGGAATGAAAGGTATTCGTGATTGTAAACACGCCGGATAATTTGGTTGCCATCGTGCATTGAGTACACCGGAAGCCTAAGCGAGTCGAAGTCGAACAGAGTTACAACCTGGTCGTGTCAGCACATTATCCCTGCATAGGAGCTTATAAGCCGACTTACATAGACACAGACGGGGGCACAATGGCAACGGAGAAGAACAGAGAGAAAAGCTGACAAAAGCGGACGCCCTTCCATAAGGACATAGACGGATCAATTGTGGTCACGATATGTCAAGATGATAGGAAAGTGACATCGGCGATATAATACGGTAGCCAGAAGAGGGAGACCACGAAGTATACACGAGCACCTGCTTCTATCTTTTGACCATTTGAATCTAGCATGCTTGACGTTCCCCGAATAACACGGTGCGTAAACATGTCCATGATTTTGTATCGACCGAGTTGAGTTGAGCTCCCAGTCATAGGAAAAGCATAAGAGAAGCACCGGGCAGAAATAGCATCAAGTGTTGTCACTTAGAAACCAGAATACCACATTTCTCATGATCAGGTAACCAAAGTCAACTGCTGTAGCAATACCGCGGAACCAGCACAAATAAGTTCTATACAAGACGCCTGCAAACCGGTCGTCGTCGATTCATGAGCACGTGCTGGAGACGCGTCAGACAAGGACGCGATCCTGACTAAGCAGACTACACGGTTGCGCCACAACAGCCACTCGGCGCTTCCTGCTCTCTAGCCAGTCATCATCTTGCCGCACTGGCGCAGCCCAACTGGGAACAAAAGGGCGGATGCATTTAATGAGCCCGCAGAGAGAATTGTAGAGCACCTCGATTAGGTCTGTCTGACTCGGTGTGAGACTTTTGTGGATGTTTGCCTCGTTGCAGTGCCAAGTTGATACTCTACACGTACGGTCTGTGGGCCACATTCCTCTGGGCTATATAAACAATGAGGAAGCCATACCAAACGTCGTATTCGACGGTCTCGTCAGAATAAGTGAGACGCCAGTTACTCGCCAAAGTCTCATAAACCTCTTGAGAATCTGTCTGATACGCCCTTTGTCCACAAGGCCACTCGTGATATCTCGCATTTGAGCGAAACACTTCCGACCAGTCGACAAACAGTCATTGGCGATCTGGGTAATGCGATTCCCGAGGTTCCAGTTCCATTCTTCTTCGAGAGTGTCTGTCCACGGATATTTTCTCAGGACGATGCGCTGGTCGACAAGGTTCTGAGTCGGCTGACTGTAGGCCCCAACAAGATTATAGACGATGAGACAGGAAGATGGACGGACTTTGTGATCCTCCCTAGCGCATCGACAAAGCACGAGGACCCCACGTTCAAGCCTCTAGAAAACTTGATGAAGGCTATCGGAGACGCCGCGAAGGATGAAGACCCTGGCTTTAAATGCAATCTAGTCTTTCAAAACTCTCCATATATATCACCTGTGTCAGCTCACTGGAATTCTACCTCACGCCCTGATGGGTACTTTCGTGTTAGTGGGCCAGGGAAGAAGCCGCACTGGAAGGATATTGCATTGTGTGCGGAATATAAAAAATACGCTCTAAAGGAGACAAAAGATGATGTGAGCGTTATATACCTACTTGTTTGTAGCTGCTGAAATGTCCTATCGCAGGTAGTGGCTAAGGTGATTTGGGGGATGCACCACTGTATGAGGGAAGATCCACGAAGGCGCTTTACTTTTGGGTTGACGGTTGAAGACTCTGAGATGCGGTTGTGGTATGTGAGCCGGACCGACGTAATGGTCACACAAGCATTTGACTTCTTGATGGTATATAACATTAATTAAATGATACGTCGGGACAAAAAACTTACAATGCGTGCACAGGATCACAGAACTTTGATTCATCTGGCACTTGCATTCCTGAACGCTGATCCACAAGAAGCCGGCTGGGATCCAACGATGAAACCTGTCATGGGCCGCAATGGTAAACCTCTGCTCGGTGGCGACTGTAAGCCTCGATTCGATATTACAGTTCACGCGAAGGATGGATCAGAGGCTATCTTTCGCACAACACGCCTGATCTCCTTCATAGGAACAGCGTCTATGCAGGGGCGGGGTACGCGAGTCTGGGAAGCAAAAAGGCTCAAAGATGGCAGGGAGTCTGGGGAGCCTCTCGTACTGAAGGACTGTTGGGTCGACGCTGATCGACTACGAGAGGGGACAACAATTAGGATGATTCGAGAAGCTGACATTAGTGAAGAGGGTCGGAAAGTGCTCGATGACCATATTCTGACAGTCGTCTGCCACGGCGATGTACAAACGAAGAGTGGTATTGTCGATCATACGCGAGACTTGCTGACGAGGGGCAAGGAGGTCTCACTGAAAGATGGCCAGTTCCTCTTGCGGACTCATTTTGTGACTCTGGCGCAGGCGATGTCCCATGATGCGGGCCAAAGCAGCTGTCCTTCCGATATGCCATCGGGATCGGGTAGAAAACAAGGATCACGCCTCTCAGGTGTCAAACATGGATCCAATACTGCGCCGAAGGGTGATGCGGGACACCATCGCGGTCACGACGGGTTGTCTGAAGCTGTCCAGCATCGCAGATACTATCAGTATCATCCCAGGGTTCATTATCGTATCGTCTTCAAGGAGGTATGCACCGCGCTCCATCAAGAAACTTCATTGTGCCTAGTTTTCGATTATCTCTCTCAGACGGCTTTAGGTAAAATTATCGTGATGCACAATCTACCGAACTGTACTGACATATATTGGTGTTACTGTCAGTGTTGCGATTTCTGCACGAAGCCGGTTGGGTTCATCGGGATTTAAGCACAGGGAATATCCTCGTGTTGAACGGGAAGGTCAGGCTGGCGGATTTTGAGTATGCCAAACGACTAGATGAATCTAGTCCTTCTCATGACATTCGGACAGTGAGTATCTCTACCCCTTCCTTCAATCTCGCTCACACACTGTACGCCATGTCAGGGTACAGCCGACTTCATGTCCATTGAGGTCGATGACCAGGATTATTTCTTCTTGGTCCAAGAATCCAACGACGCGAAAATCAAGACTGACGATCTCTTGGACGATCTCTCTGATGATGAATCGCCACAGGTTCCATTAGAAACAGTGGAAGTCATGTTTCGATACAACCCCCTTCACGATTTCGAGTCTCTGTGGTGGATTTCAGTTTACTTTTTGTTCAACAAGAGGATCAAAACTGTCGACGAAGCTCCTCCACCACCTCATGATTATAGTCAACAGAGGTCCTTTGCTGCCGACATCTTCTATTCGCTACCCCGGAGACAAGTTGCCCTGATAAATCATTACACTTTTGAAAAGGCGGTGGGATCCCTTTCTCCTGTCCTGGCCAAGTTTGGAAAATCTGTCAATGTGCTTAGAACAAGAATTGTGGATCGTTATGGAGATATCGAGAAGAATCCACAGAACATACCTAGCAGCACAGCTGCAGGTGAGGTCCCCATAGACTTTATCAAGATTCTCGGAAAACTTGGGCAGCGTCGCGTGCAATGCCTAATCGGCCCTCTTCCCGACCTCGATGAGGGCGTTATCAAAGTGCCAACTAAAGCAGGTGAAACGGCTACAAATTCGACCGAAAGTCGACGGCCCAAACCTACCGATGACGATCTCAAAGTACGCGGTATTCGAGACGGTGGTACACGAAAAGACGAGGGAAAGACGGAACCGATTCGACACCCCCTTCAAGATCCTCCCACTGGGCATCAGACTTTCGGTGCGAGGAATATGAGAGCAGAAGGACTCAAGCATCCGATGCAGACCAGATCTAAAGCTAAACAATTTGCTGCCGAGGCTCAAAGGCAATGAGCCATGAGACGAGCAAGGATAACTACGATTGCTATCGCTTACTCTGCTTTGCGGTATATATTGTCATGCCTCAGTCCGTATCAGGATGTTTTTTTGATGAGTCTCTCATAGTGAAGCCTGTAGCGGATTGCTAGTCCGTCCTCGATTCGGACTTTGAGGCTGGAGGGTCGTCGTATAGAACGGCATAGATAACTACGAAGCGAAAGCCCATTATATCATGCAGTAGGACTCAATACAGTATATGCGGATGTCGTAGAGGTGCAGTACGAGCTATACAATGTAAAATTTAATGTAGCATTATCTACGGGGGTAAACTCGTTGAGAGAGGAACGAGGCGCCGAGCTTGCTCAAAACACCAAGCTTGACAGGCTGGCCGTCCGGAATGAGCTATAGTACGTCTCCACATCAGATAACTCACTTCCTCGGACGACCTAGCCGCTTAGAGCGGATCGACAACGAACGGTTGAGATCGTCCAAATAAGCAGACTTGCCAGGGGAGAGCTGCAGAGCGTGTTTATGCATCGAAATCGAAGAGTGGATGTCTGCAGGGTTACCTAGCCGCTTGAAGCGGTTGAAAAGCAAGTATTCGAGGTAGTTTAGACGAGAAGGCTTGTCACAGTCGCTGTCAGGGGAGAGCCGTACGGCATCTTCTAGCATCGAGATTGAGTAGTGAATGTCCTTAAGGTTACCCAGTTCCTCAAAGCGAACGAACAAAGAGACACCGAGCTTTTTTAGAAAATGAGGTTTTTTAGGATGGCTGTTAAGACAGAGTTGTACGGCATGTTCGCGCAGTGAAATTGAGCGATGGATGTCCTTTAGGTTACCCAGTCGCTTGAAGCGGGTTAAAAACAAGTATCCGAGGTGATTTAAACGAGATGGCTTATCAGGGTCGCTGTCAAGGGAGAGCTGTATGACATCTTCGTGCATCAAAATCGAGCGGTGAATGTCCTTGAGATTATCGAGCCGACTGAAACGGGCAAACAAAGAGAGTCCGAGGCTGTTCAAACGAGTAAGCTTTTCGTGGTCACCGTTAAGGGAGAGCTGTACGGCATCCTCGTGCATTGAAATTGAGCGATGAATGTCTCTGAGGTTTCCTAGTCGCTCGAAGCGGCATAGCAAAGAGCATCCAAGGCTGTTCAAACGAGTAGGCTTGCCGGGGTCTCCACTAGGGGAAAGCTGTACAGCGTCTTCGTGAATCGAAATTGAACGGTGAATATCTTCGATATTGTCCAGCCGCTCGAAGCGGCATAACAAAGAGCATCCGAGCCTGTTCAAACGAATAGGCTTGCCGGGGTCATCGTCAGGGGAGAGCTGTACAGCCTCTTCGTGAATCGAAATTGAACGGTAAATGTCTTCGATGTTTCCCAGCCGCTCGAAGCGGCTAAAAAACTTATGCCCAAGATTATCCAGATGAGAACACTTGTCGAGGTTGCTTTCAGGAGTTGATTTCACCTCATCGTCCCGGATAGAGATCGATCTGACCATATCTGCAATGTCCACGGATTGGTTGAGAACCGGGGTGTATATCTCTCGTTCCTCTACTCTCCTCTGCTTCTCCCGCTGTGTCTTACCGTGCACCACATCGTTGACTGATACAGTGTCACTTTTCTCCGACTCGGCACAAAGCGCACGGCGAGGCTCGACGATTGAGATATCACGAACTTTGTCTGCACGAAACGATTGGACTTCGGCAGGCAAACGAGCCATCCGTTGAACGACACCTGTGTACTTGAGTCCATGTGCTTCATCTTTCACAGGGGCATCGATGGGTGTTCTCGTGAAGAGCCCGCTTTCGCTTGTCTCCCTAGCAGGATCTTCTGCGCTAGGTGAAGCAAGAAGTACATGACATCGGAAGCCAGTGTCATCATAGGAAAAGCTAGTAGCGGCTGCCGTTTCACGCTCTTCTGGTTGGAGACTATTCCATAAATCTTCATCCAGGTCAGAGGGGATTGCTTCGACCTCGATACGTCCATATACATGGGCAGACTCGCCGCCATGCTCACGTGTACCGGCCCCGGAATGGCAGCAATCTAAGACAACGCACTGATGCAAAATCAGTAGGCGGACTGCAATGAGGTGAGAGATGAACGAACAATGTTATCACCCTTATTTGCGGCGAGCCGTACGAGCAGAGCGCCTAACGTGCGATTTGGGATTCCGTGGACTTTGCAGCCCTTTTGGCCATTGTCTGACTGGTCATACGGCACCAGGAGTTGGATCTCGGCCCCTGCGGTGTCCCAGTCTGTAGGAGCGACAGACGTTGCACAATGTCCAGCATAGTATATCAGGATGGGATCTCCTTTCCGAATGCGCTCGTCATCCAAGAACCCATGAATCCCGCGAAGGATCGCAGCTCGCGTAGCCTGGCCGTCGCGGAGATTCCGGATTTGGAAACTTGGAACCCCAAGCTGTTCCTGCAGATAATCTCGGACTGTATCAGCGTCACGAGCTGCGCCCGACAGGTTTGTGATAGATGTGGCTTTGTGCTTGTCGATTCCAATAATGAGCGCGAAGAGGCGGGGTTGCATTCTAGTGTAGCGACAATCGGTGAACCACAGCAGGATTTCCTCACAAGGAGGAATACTCACTTCGGTGATGGAACGGCCCCTGTTGCGTCTGTGAGCTGATTCAGCAGCTCAAGATGATGAGGGAGATGCACACGAGTCGTCTGTTAAGTTGTCGTGAACCTCAACTTAATTGTGTGAAGTAAATTGATGGCAAACCTCAGATAAACACTTGAGGATGTCCATTGCGGGCAGCACGGATGCATTATGCTTAACTAACATCAGATTGAGTGGTAAATGCTTAGAATATGAGTAGCCGCACGTCTATGGTTGCGTCAACGACAGGATTGGAATCCACTAATGGCATCTGTGACGGCTTGGATGGCATTGTTAATAAATTAAAAATTCAAGTTATTTCACGAGATCCGCTTACACTACTTGTGTTACTATCCGAATCGAAATCAACATGTGGCACAATCTGTTAGAAGAATATGAGCCTTACGAGCGCAGAAAACATATAGCAACGTACCTGCCATATGTTTCGAGGGTGTCCGGGGTCGTCTAGAAGCTCTATCTGGTTCAGGGAATGTCAGTTGTGCCGGTAGGAGGGTGCGCTGAAAGCACATGTCTCACCGGAGTCTTTGGTGACCCGTCATCGAGACGCCAGCAAAGCTCTCTTCTCTCGTTATGCCGGATACTGTTAGATACATCTCTACATCAATGATGATTCACCGATAGCCTGAAAATACGAAGCATACAAATAGGTATCTGGTTTCGACCTCGCTCCTGCCACTCTCTCAATAAACCACCAGCACTCGCTACTCGATCCAACCACCACTTGTGGGTCCACGCCATATGAGGGACGAGGAAAGCCCCTCGATTCGAACCCCATGTTTCTGAGTTGATGTCGACCGGCAGTGCTTGGTATCAGCGTCCACTATATGAAGATATGTATGTCGGTATGGCGATACATTATGGCCCGCTTCCGAGAAAATATCGCACCAGCTCCGCCTTGGAAACCTCGAGCAAGGGCACAACGCAGAACAATGGCTCTGCATCATTGTCGTTTAACATTGCCACTCTATTAGAATGGAAAGCATTCGTGATTGTGAACACGCCGGACAACCTAGTAGCCATGGTGCATCGAGTACACTAGCGGCACCAACGAGTTGAGATTGCGGTCTGTCCAATATCGATGCATTAGCATAGCGTGAAGTCTCGGAAACGGGCTCACAAGGACACAGACAGGGCGTAATAGCAATGCGGAAGAACAGGAAGAGAAGGCTACGGAAGGACGTGCTGGCACAAGCGAATCGAGGTATGTCAGGATTAACCCACAAAAGGAAGATAGCGCCGGGCGAGGAAATTAAGTTAGGCTGGCACAGTCATCAGAAGATGGATGCCATACAGTTTGCATGCACACAAGCATTCTGCTTCCATCGTCTGACCATCTGGACAGAGCTTGCATGGTAGGCGCTCCCCGGTTGAGTATGATTTGCGCGATGTGCCAGTAAATACGCTATTTCATACTCGAATGAGTTGACCTGAGGATCTTAGGAGGAGTAAAATAAGTAGGGATAGGATTGGGATACTCATCAGCTGTCATGAATGAGCGCTACTATGTGCCTGTGTGACCAACTATGATAGTACTCTCGCATGAGCTGCGATGGCGGGTCTGAATCCATGTTGTTACAGATTGTCGGATATGTCAATCAGTAGAACAGTTGAGCATGGTCGCAACTCGAGACAAGATGGCCTCGAGAGCGCGCTGTTGCCAGCAGTACACAGGTTCGGCAGACTGGCGGCATAGCGCAACGAGCGCTGACAATAGATGCGTCGACCATCGCGCTGTGTTTCTGCGCTCGGCGCACTGCGGCCTTTGCGATCATCGTTCACTGTTGTTCAGGGACGTCCACTTTTGTAATGTCTCCAGGACACTAGCCAGTGTATGGTGTGTTGATGGTCTATTGCGACAGACGACTTGAGCAAAGGAATCTGTCTTCTAGGGGCGATACACAGTGGTATGGCTTAGTACGCATGTAGTTCTGGCAGTGTGCTGTCTGTCAGGTTTGGCCTCTACTGGGGCGTCAGGCCTTCAGGCTTTCAGGTGTCGGAACATTATGACGTTCCGAGGCACTGGAGGCGTTCTTGCCGACTCCTCTAGTGATCAGCGGTACTAATATTATATCAGACACGCCGTCGTGACGACTTGTTACATGCGGACGTAGGGGCTCGAGAACGAGAGACTTGACGTGTTGCAGTTGAGGCAGTGGCAATCGAAGTATCCAGGGCAGCGAGGGGCACCTACCTGGTGGAGGGTGGGAGAGATCGCAATTGTAAAAAGACATTCCGAGGCTCATGTAGAATAACTTTATCAGATCATACAGTAAAATAATAATAAACAAATCCATGCAGGTTTCGTAAACATCGTTGTACGGGACACGCGAACCTCAACCATGTAATAACAAATGCAAGCTCGCACCATTAACAGTGGCAAAATCACAGCTCAAGAACGAAGTGGCAAACTTACCCACCCGGCCCTGTAGGCCTAGTCTGATTGTCTGAGGTGATTCATACCCCTCAGGAAGCCGGCCTCCTCAGATCAGCAAGGACTCCCAGTCGCTCAAAACGGGCCGACAGCAAGTCGGCGAGTACGTTCAATATCTCAGGCTTGTGAGGATCGCCATCGGGAAGGCGCCGCACCGCGTCTTCCTGCAACGAAATCGCCCTGTCGATGTCCGCGACATTGCCAAACCTGTCGAAGCGAGTGATTAACGGTGCGCTGAGCTCGACCAAGCGCTGAGGTTTGTCAGAATGATCGTCCGGCGTGAGTCGCTCCGCATCCTCCCGCACAGAAACGGCCCTATCTATGTCCGCCACGTTCCCAAGCTTCTCAAATCGGGCACACAGCAACCCGCCGAGGACAGCCAGGCGATTAAACTTCTCGGTATGGTCATCTGGAGTGAGCTGTGCTGCATGCTCCTGCGCTGAAATCGACCGGTCGAGGTCTGCGAGGTCGCCTAGTCGCTCAAAGCGGGCGTGAAAGGACAAGCTGAGGTTGCTCAAGTTCCTGTGCTTGTCAGCATGGCCCTCGGGGGTGAGACGTATTGTCTCTTCCTCTACCGAAATCGACCTCTCAATGTCCGCGATATCTCCAAGTCGCTTAAAGCGGGACCATAATGATATGCTGAGGTTGTAGAGATAGCCCGACTTGCTAGGGTGGTCGTCGGAAGTAAGGCGTACTGCGTCTTCCCTCGCCGAAACCGAAGCGTGAATATCCGCGGGGGGGTTGTCCAGCTTCTCGAAGCGAGTATAGTACATTTCTCCGAGGTCATCCAAAAATTTAGGCCGGTCAGGATGATCATCCGACGTATGCTGTAGTGCGTCTTCCTGCATCAAAATTGACTTGTCGATGTCTGCAGCGTCACCCAGCTGCTTAAAGCGGGCGGACAAAGAGACACCGAGGTTGAACTGATAGCCAGGCCTACCAACATGGCCCTCTGGAGAGAGCCCCACCGCCTCCTCCTTCATCAAGACCGACTTATGAAGGTCCTCGAGATCCCCCACTTGCTGGAAGCGGGTCAAGAACAAGTTGCCAAGAATTGACAAACGCTCAGGCTTGTCAGGGTGATCATCTGGAGTGAGTTGAACTGAAGCTTCCTGTGCAAAAATTGACGTCGTAAGATCGGCGAGGTTTTCCTGTCGGTCGTAGCGGGTCCAATAAGATTTGCCGAGTTTGGTCAGACGATTAGACCTCTCAGGATGGTCCCCAGGGGTGAGCCGCACAGCGTCCTCCTTGACCAAAATCGACCTGTCAAGGTCCGCAAGGTCTCCCGCTCGTTCGAAGCGGGTTAAGAGCAAGTTTCCGAGAACTTCCAGATGGTGAGACTTGTCAGGGTGATCTTCCGGAGTAAGTCGCACTGCATCTTCATTAGCCGAAATCGACCCGTTTAGGTCTGAGAGGTCTCCCAGCTGTTCGAAGCGGACCCACAACGATCTACCGAGAGTGTCCAGACGACTATGCATGTCAGGACTGTCGTCGGAAGTGAGTTGAACCGCGTTGGCCTTTACCGCAATCGACCTTTCAAGGTCCGCGATGTCGCCAAATTGCTCAAAGTGAGTGAAAAGCGCGGTACCGAGAAGTTCCAAACGACGGGGCTTGTCAGGATG